AGGTTGGAGACCCCTGCCATGGAGGCACCGGCACACATCAAATTAAACTCTATTTTATGCTGGTAACCCCATTTTCAAGGCTGGCACAGCCTGCCAAGCCCAATTCAAGCACGTGCTCAGTTAAAAAAGGGGGGGGAGATTTTATGCCTTGGGAAAAGAGGGGCTGCTGACCTGCTTTCCCTTGCTCTTCCATAGCTACATTTCCAAGGGGGAGCTTCAATATTGTTATTTATTCGTGCATTATATAGGAAGAGATTCTTCGTCTCCTTTTTTTTCTAATTAGGGGCGCGCTAACAGATTCCAATGCATCCTATTCCCCCAGCGATTCCAACCTCTCCCTTCCTGGAGGAGTTGGACTACAGTTCCCATGTGGCGCCCAATCCACGGGACAGGCAGTCCAAGGCAAACTCGCGAGTCGCCCTTCCCACGTTCCTCCCCTCACAACACGAGTCGTCTCAATTTCACCCCACACCAACCCCCCCGCCGCCCGATTGCTGCTGCTGCTGCTGCTGCGGATCGAGGCCGGGCTGGAGGCCTCAGGCCAGGCCTCACCATCCTCCTCAGGGGCGGCGGGCGGCGGCTGAGCTGTCTGGTGGCCGGCGGCTCTGGCTCTGCTCACGCCGGGCGGCTCCGGCTCGGGGTTCGGCTCCGGGGCCTGTCTCCATCTATGGGCGCCGAGCCCGGCAGCGGCGCGAGGCCGAAGCGGCCGGGCGAGTCGGCGGCGGCGGCCGGGGACGGCGGCGTCTCCCTGCCAGAAGGCCGCCGCCGTGGCGGGAGGCTGTGGAGGGGGTGGCCGCCGAGGCAGCGGGCACGGCTCGCGGCAGGCTCCGGCTGGGGCTCCAGAGCGGCGGCGGCGGCGGCAGCAGCGGCGAGGGCAGGAGCGGCCTGGTGGCTCCTTCTCATAATTGTGCGACTGGGCCGGCAGCGGCGGCGGCAGCAGCAACGCCGCGGCCTCGCGCGTCAGCTCGCGCCGCCCTCCGCCCGCCCTCCCGCCGCCGCCGCCGCCGCTGAGGGGAGCCCCGGCTGAGGTGTGTTTGTGAGGCTGTTGTGTAGCAGCGGTGATGATGGTAGTGGTGTGTTTGTGTGTGTGTGTGTGGGGGGGTTGCGTTGCTTTATACACGCGGAGGGCCGAGCCAGGTGTTTCAGGCACACGCATCTGTGTGTTCCCCACACGTGCAAGGAGAGCACCTGCCACGCACACGTGCCCAGGCACAAGCACACTCGCGTCCGTGGGGCTGCCCCGTGTCTCACGCGCCCGTTTTTCTCTCTCTCTCTCTCTCTCTCTCTCACACACACACACACCTCCTGCACCCATAGTGTGCCTGTGTCAGACACTGGTTGACATCCTCGGCCGAATGTCACACGTGCCTAGTCATGCACGGCCACGCAAGGCAAGCCCATAGAGACAGGTTTGTCTCACAGTGTATTTGTTCACGCAGCCCCCCTTGCTCCTGTTCAGACACACGTGTGTACAATGAAAATACACACACATACGTGTATGCATGTCTGTCCATCTACACACACATACACGCGTGTCTAGAATGTATGCATGTCCATCCATCCATCTACACACACACACATACACACACACATTATTGATCCATGCTCCTATATCTCACATGCATATGCACCTCCCCTTATAACTCACCTAATACAGATGTATTTCATATATGGAGTATATATACACACATCACAACCATCCATACACAAACGGAGGGGAAGAATTATATTTTATTTATTTATTTATTTATTTATTTATTTATTTATTTATTTATTTATTTATTTGATTTGCCAATTGTTTACAAGATAATAAGTATAATTGTATACATAGTTGTGAATACATGAAATGGGTACATATAAGAAAAATAAAAGAATAAGAGAAACAATAGGACAGGGACGGTAGGCACGTTGGTGCGCTTATGCA